AAGGTATTAAAGCGTTAAATGATGAGAATTTAGTGTATGGATTGTTTTTTGCACGCATGAGAACCGATGATTATTGAATGGATGACAATGATATGAAAATGATGAAGGTAGTTTCGACGGTTTAATTACCCAAGTTCGAGGTAATTGAATGTTTCGGCCCAGAGTTTCGGCTACTGTGGCTTGAAGTAAAATTTTGGAACGTCCTGCAATTTTGTGGGACAACAAATGTAACATTTAATGTATGCCATCGTATTTGTTGATGTCTACGACCACACCACGTTGAAAGCACGACATCCCGTCCGATCTGTCAAAAAGGTTTAATTAAGCAAGTTTGAGATACTATCAACTAAAGAGGCAGAAAAACCTTCAGTTTTTGTCACGGTTGAAGAAAATCGGCGACAATTGAAGAAAATCGGCGACAAAGGGAATCACTGATTCCCTGCATCGCCTCCTCATGATTTTAGCGGCATCAAATGATGAATTCCCTTGAACTATTATACATTCCCTCTCCAATCAATTCATCCAATAATTTCTATCATTAACGAAATCTTACATTCATAGTTCAGATGAGATAGTTATCAGCCTCTTCCTGCTAATCTTATTTATATGATTTATTTAATTTGAAGAATTTCGTTTGTAATTTTTTATTTTATAAATGTTCTTTTTTTATAAAAAAAATTCAAAATGATACATATATATGCAATGAACAAGATTTAAAACAGAAATGATTCTAAAATGTTTAATTACTCTTCCTTTTTGAGCCATAAGTATTCAAACCGATTTTACTTGAATTTAATTAGGAGACATGCAGAAAAAATATAAAAATAGAAGAGGTAATTTAATAAGGAGATATGCAGAAGATATAAAAACAATAAAGACTAATTTAGTAAGGAGATATGCAGAAAAAAATATAATCTAATGAGATAAGGAGATAGGAGATATATTTGATCCCACGATAGAATTTAGCTGGGAGGTATGTTCGATGGCGCAGTGGAATTTAGCAAAGAGATAATTGAAGATGTAACACATATACATGAATTATATCAACAATTAGAACTATTGCAGAAAGTTGTGACTTTTGTTTGCACTGTGTCATCCGAAAAAATGATGAGGTCAATCGAATATGCGCCAGACGAGATCAATCAAAAAGTATAATTAGGGAGATAAGACAGAGAAGATTGAGATGGCGGATCCAAATCTCGTTCCCATTTAAACACTTCTCCCATTACTTCTCTCATCAATGGAAGAATATTATTTCAAGAAGAAATAAGGAAGCGAAGAGAAATGCTTCAAAATATTTAACTTTCCTTTTTTGTCGTACCAAAAACATTCGGATCAATTTCACTCAATTCCGCGGTATAATTTAGCAAGAAAGGTATGCTCGGTGGAGCGGTACAATTGAGCAAGGAGATCCCGCGGTATAATTTAACAGGGAGTTATGTCCGGTCACGCGCCATAATTTAGCAAGGCGGTAATCGAAGTGTTACATAGACATTTATTACATCAACAACTGCTGAAAAGGGATTCCCTCTCACATATTATGTTTACACTACGTCATCCGACAAAATGATGAGGTCAACCGACCATACTGTTGTTAAGGTCAATCAAAACATATCGCATAATTAGGGTGGAGGAGACAGAGATGCTTGAGAACTAGAAGAAGAATCAGATGCAAATTTG